TACACATACACATACACACAGAGCTGAGCAGCTTTTAACAGACTTCTAGAGCTGCAGATGTAGACCACGTATGAACAGCAGTAACACAGTCATCAATCATTCTGAACTGTTTCCCTCCCCTCCCTCCCCCCCCACACACAGACATAAAGGAGCATGTGAAGCAGATAGAGAAGGCTGTCTCAGGTAAGGAGCCCCGGTTTGTTCTGAGAGCTCTGAGAGCGTTGCCGTCTACCAGCCGTCGTCTGAACACCAACGTGCTCCATAAAGCTGTGTTTGGCTTCTTCACCAACAACACCAGCACCAGAGACCAGCTGCTGGGCTTCCTGGACGAGGTCATTGATCAACAATTATATTAATCACTCATTCATGTTGGACCATCATAGACCAAACTGCATCTCTCTTTAGTACGGTTTAAACTGCATCTCTCTTTAGTACGGTCTAAACTGCATCTCTCTTTGGTACGGTCTAAACTGCATCTCTCTTTGGTACGGTCTAAACTGCATCTCTCTTTGGTACGGTCTAAACTGCATCTCTCTTTGGTACGGTTTAGTTCAGACAAAAACAAGAAAGAAGTTAACTTTGAGTTTAAACACAGATGTGTGATCAGCTGATCAGTACTGATACTTCTCTCTCTCTCTCACACTGTCTGTCTCTCCCTCAGCCGATGGAGGTGTTAGAGGGAGACGTCCCGTTCCGTCCCAGGATAGGTAAATCAGTGTCTGCTCCTCTGCTGCCGGAGGTGGAGGCTTATCTTCAGCTGCTGCTGGTGGTTCACCTGACAAACAACAAGAGATACACTGAGGTCCGTCCGTCTGTCCGTCTGTCCGTCTGTCCGTCCGTCTGTCCGTCTGTCTGATGATGACGTGTGTTTCAGGCTCAGAAGGTGTCAGACGACCTGCTGCAGAAGATCGGGTCTAAGAACCGCAGAGCTCTGGATCTGGTGGCTGCTAAGTGTTATTATTACCACGCTAGAGTGTACGAGTTCCTCAAGCAGTTTGACACCATGCGCAGGTACACGCATAGACACACACACAATACACACACATACAAACACGCACACAAAGAGGCACAGACACACAAACACGGAGACACACACGCACACTCACATAGACAGATACACACAACTTAACACCAGGTGTGTCCCTCGTATACTGAACATGTTCTTCTCTAGTTTCCTCCACACTCGCCTGCGTACAGCGACTCTGCGTCACGATGCTGACGGTCAGGCCGTCCTTCTGAACCTGCTGCTGAGGAACTACCTGCACTTCAACCTGTACGACCAGGCAGAGAAGCTGGTGTCCAAGTCTGTTTTTCCTGAACTCGCCAACAACAACGAGTGGGCCAGATACCTGTACTACACAGGTGAGACAATACCTGTCCTACTGATACCTGTACTACACAGGTGAGGCTGATGCCTGTGTTTACCTGTGTTCACCTGTGTCATGTGACCTCCTGCAGGTCGTATTAAGGCGATCCAGTTGGAGTACTCTGAGGCTCGCAGGACTTTGACCAACGCTCTGAGGAAAGCTCCCCAACACACCGCTGTGGGCTTCAAACAGACGGTCCGTTACACACCGTATCGCACCGTTTAGGGGTGGGGGAAAAAATCGATACAGCATAGTATCGCGATATTTTGCGTGGCGATATTGTATCGATACACGGAAGCCAAGTATCGATCTTTTATTATATAAACTATGAACTTTTTTTTTACTAGAAAAATCAAATCAATTGCTTTTTCAGTCCACTAGATGGTGCTGAGTTGTTTTCTGGTGAGGTCAGCAGAGGTGCCGGGTCAGCAGGATTGGTAGGAAGTTGGTCAAAACAAAGAGACATCTGAGAAAGAAATCAGAAATGCACCGTCCGCGTTTAAATCAGACGTCTGGACATGGATGTGACTCATGGATGTGACTCCGTCGCGGCGTTTTTTCACCGACACATCCGTGCCTAAGCTCTACAGAGAAGTGAAGCTTAAAGTTGAGGAGTCTGAGTACAGCAGAAAGAGTTGCATTAATTTGCGATGCGTGGACGTTAAGCGCAGTGGATTCCTGTGAGACTATAACAGCACAATATCTCAGAGGACTGGCGACTGCTGTCTCACGTTCTCCAAACTAGAGCAGTACACGCAAGTCACAGCGGGGCAAACATTACAGACCTCCTGCTAAATGCAGCACAAGATGGGGGATTGCTGACAAAAACCTGGTGGTTGTAACAACGCTTCTAACGTGGGCGTTGCCGTTCAGTTAGCTGGATTCCTGCATGTGAAGTGTTTCGCTCACACGCTCAATCTGGCCTCACAACGGGGTTAAATCTGCCACCAGTAGCCAGGCTCATGGGGAGAGTGCAGCGCACAACTGTCTCTCTGCCCTCGACGTCCACGCATCGCAAGTTATACTGAGTTATATAACTCTTATATCCTACTTATATAAGTTATAGACATGTTTGCATTTAGTTAAGTTGGACTATGTAGTAATACAAACAGTTCAGTTTGTCAGGTGCAACATTTATGACATTGTTGGTCAGTCTGTCTGCTTGACAATCCTATTTTGCTGCAATACAAATGATTGAAGTGAGATGAACAGACTGAAAACTTTCTTATTAGATAAAACATGTTGACACAGTTTTCCTTTGGGGACATAATTTGAAGTGGAAAAAAGTAATAAATCGCAGTATCGTGATAATATCGTATCGCGGGACCTCTGGTGATTCCCACCCCTAACACCGACACACACCGATACACACTGATGTAGTAACACGTGTTATTACATTCATATAACCGTGGTACTGTGAGTCCTGTGAGTGATAACAGTACTGATCTGTGATCAGGTCCACAAGCTGCTGATCGTGGTGGAGTTATTGCTGGGAGAGATTCCTGACAGACTCCAGTTCAGACAGCCGTCACTGAAGAGGTCACTGATGCCCTACTTCCTGCTGACTCAGGGTCAGTCTTTACTCTCTGATGGTTCCTTTAGCAGTCTGTTCATTGTTACTATATGTATACCCTCTTTTATGTGTACTGTGTGTGTACTCTGTGTGTGTACTGTGTTTGTCCAGCGGTGAGAGCAGGTAACCTGGCCAAGTTCAACCAGGTCCTGGAGGAGTTTGGGGAGAAGTTCCAGACCGACGGGACGTACACGCTCATCATCCGCCTGAGACACAACGTCATCAAGACCGGTGAGCCAATCACAGGACAACTCTGACATCACAGCCTGATGTCACCCGATAACCCTTTAGTCATTAAAGGTGTGTGTGTGTGCGTGTGTGCGTAGGTGTGCGTATGATCAGCCTGTCGTACTCTCGTATCTCTCTGGCCGACATCGCTCAGAAGCTGCAGCTCGACAGTCCAGAGGACGCAGAGTTCATCGTGGCCAAGGTAACGAGGAAACAAGAAGAGGAGACATCAGTTATCTACAGCTTTACATCCATCAGAGTTATTGATCCGAGTACACAACTTTTAACAATAGTTTAGACCTGAACCTGAACTGTGTTTCCAGGCGATCCGTGACGGAGTGATCGAAGCGAGCATCAACCACGAGAAAGGCTTCGTCCAATCAAAAGAGACCATGGACATCTACGGAACCAGAGAGCCTCAGCTGGCTTTCCACCAGAGAATCTCCTTCTGCCTGGACATCCACAACATGTCTGTCAAGGTGAGACACACACCTGACATCCACAAAAGCTTGTTTTGAAATGTTTTTGGATTTAGGCTTCTGTCAGGTAGAAGACGAGTTCTGATCTCAACACATTTATATTCCCTGCCTTCTTCCTGGTTATAGCGGTTTATAACTGGTTAGAGCGGTTACAGCTGGTAATAACTCTTGCTGTGGATTAGTTTATTAATGAGAAGAGCTTCAGTTAAATAACCTTGTTTCTTCCTGCAGGCCATGAGATTTCCTCCTAAAGCGTACAACAAAGACCTGGAGTCAGCAGAGGTAACACACACACACCATCACAGGTTCTCCATCAGTTTAAAGGTTGATGGTAAATGTAGTTCATTGGAGCTCTAGTGACAGAGGAGTTCTCCTGCTGGTGGAGCCGTGCCTACATATCCCAGGATGCATTGCTCTACACTAAAGCAGCCTCTACTCTGCCTTTAATAAATAGCTGAATGTCTGCTGAAAGGTGTCCTCTGACCTCATATTATGGGATGGCATGTCTGTCTGGAGGGCTACAAGCTGCAGCCGTCTGTAGAAGAACTACATTTAGTGTTTACACAGAGGTCCCCAACCTTTCATGCACCACGGACCGCTTTCATGTAAGACAATATGTCCACGGACCGGCCTTCAAGTTGTGGCGGAAAAACACGAGGAAATAAAATGATACGATCGGCATGAAAACAAATATAAAATGCATAA